GGGTTTAGGGAATAGGGTTTAGGGAATAGGGAATAGGGTTTAGGGAATAGGGTTTAGGGTTTAGGGAATAGGGTTTAGGGTTTAGGGTTCAGGGTTTAGGGAATAGGGTTTAGGGTTTAGGGAATAGGCTTAGAACCCCATAAGGATCCCGTCAAGGGTTCAGGGTTTAGGGTTTAGGGTTTAGGCTTAGAACCGCTTAAGGATCCCGTCAAGGGTTCAGGGTTTAGGGTTTAGGGTTGTGGCTTAGGGTTTACACTTTGGGGTTCTGGTTCTAAGGGTTTTTTAGGACTGCAGGAGGGTTCTGTTGACACGGGATGTAAAAAGGGTTCATAACTTCGCACGTGTTCACAAGGGGCTGCCGTAAGGGCTTTGACAAGGGTTCCATACCTTTCGGGTGTTGAACCAGGTCCTTGTTAAGGAGTTAAAGTTAAGTTACCATAAAAACGGGACCACAGTTCTCACTATAGATCCCTATTATTGAAACTTAAAATACACTCCATAATAAGAGCCCAGTTCAGGGCTACCTAATGGTGCGAGGCTCACGGTCCACGGATTTGGGTTGGGGATTCTGAGGTTTAGGGTGGAGGGTTTAATTAAGGCATAGGGTTTGGGGATGGTGATGCTTATGGCTAGAGAGTTTTAGCTCTTGCGTGTCAAGGCTCTGACTTTTTGGAACAGATAGGGTTTAGGGCTTAAGGGTTCATACTTCTCTTTGGGTGGGGGGTGGAGTTTGAGCTCAGGCTTTGGAAGGTGCTGCAGGCTTCAGGGTCCTCTGTGGGCTCCGGAGGCTCTCGTAGTTAGAGGCTTGACAACTCCAATGTAGAGAACAGAGGAGTTGGGTTTCCAAAATGCAAGAAACTCTGCCTTAAGGTACGGAAATACCTGGGGCTACCAAACCCTACTTGTTGGTAGGGTCCCTATAAACTCCGTATGAGGGTCTATAACAAGAACCTACAAAAGAGAGTAGGCTGTTGGCCATGGTAGCTTAAGGTGAATCATACCACAGATCTCTCCGTCTAGTAAGGCAGAAGTGGCTTAATTGATATACGACTGAGTCCCCAAACCCCAGGAGACAGTCCTGAACTCAATGATGCCACAAGAATTCTGAAGAACTACATGTGTGTTGGGATACCCAAGCCCAACACCCTTGACCCTAAACCGTCACCCTCAAACCCCCAAACACGAAACAACCAACTCCCAGACTGGATTCTTGTTGCTCAGTTACCATAACAGGGATCTATAGTATGTAATATGGTTTCCGTATTCTGGTAACTTACAATAAAATGCCCTAAACCCTAAACCCGAAGCCCTACAAGAATCCAGTAGAGGCTCACCTCTAGACTTCCGAGGGGCCGATGACACCTCCCGCAGCGCCCTTGCGCTCGCCGCTGGTCACCTGCCGGAGGTTCCAATAACGGCTTGTTTAGGGTTTAGGGTTTAGGGTCTTGTTGCTTGCCAAAGGGCTTATCTGAAGCGAATTAAATGCTTTGTGGGGGCAGGTTTTTCTTCTCTAGAGATGCTCAAGATTATAGAGCATGTTCGGCAATGTATACGAGTGTGGGAGCCCCGCGAGGGAACTACAATGTCATTACAACTCGGAGGGCCCCAAAACCCCAAACAAAATCCCGACATCCTAAACCCTAAACCCGAAACCTGGACCTCAGAGACCCTGGGGGTTTAAGAATATGGACACTTCTCTAAAGTAGGGTCTCTTGTTAGATCCCCAGTTTTTTTTAACGGCAGCCCTTTTTTTTTCCACCCTAAAAGGGACCTAAAATAGAGAACTACCCAAATGAAACCCAACAAACTCCCCCGAGGATGCGTGATCCTGACTTAATGTAAGGACCTCCCTATTTAGAATAGGGTTTGGTGCTCCTTTATAGTATACTTAAGATAAGGAACCTTGACAGTAATATTGGTACTTCTTTAGGCCCTAAACCCCTAGAGTAGAAGCCAGGAAGTTGGCCATCATTATCCTCATGCCCTTAAGTTAAAAATGTAAGGGATCCTAGCACGAATCCTCCTAAGCCCATGTTCCAACTTTCTGGCTTCTACTATAAACCCTAAACCCTAAACCCTAAACCCTAAACCCTAAACCCTCAACCCTAAACTTTTATATGAGCTTCGGACGGATCCTGGGTCCATCTTCCTGGGGTGCTTAGGGCTTAGGGGACTGAGATCCTCAAGTGTGAATGACGGCAACTTACGGCTTAGGGCGTAGGGTAGGCAATCTAGGGGCCGTATTTTTTGGAATAGGGTGTTAGGGTATGTTAGACTATAGTTACAGTAAGGAACCCCCAACACTAGTATAGGCAACTAGTAACGCTTCTACATTATACTACACCCAAAAAGTTGGAAACCGGATGAAGGACAAATAGTGCTGGGATTCCCTATACATTGCTCTAAAGGATTGAGGCTATTGGGTTTCCAACTGTTGGGCTGCTACTGTTTAGGGTTTAGGGTTTAGGGTTTAGGGTTTAGGGTTTAGGGTTTAGGGTTTAGGGTTTAGCGTTTAGGGTTTAGGGTTTAGCGTTTAGGGTTTAGGGTTCAGCTCGGCTGGTATTCTGGGGCGACCAACCCTGAAACCTCAGCCCGAAAGCCCTAGGACGCGACAGCTCAATGCCGCGCTCTCGAGGCCATTTATAGGGTTTTGGGGTTTTGGGTTTAGGAATTAGCAAGGGGCTTGGGGGTGGATAAACATATATATTGACGATGATCAGGAACCCAAGCGAATAGTATGACTAACTATTCAAGATTCTGTATTGAAACTGGCACCCTCAAAACTCTGATTGCACATGCCGCTCCTTGACGCCACTGCTCTTGTAGAAGTCGCGCAGGGACTTCAATGCCGACTGAGCACCAGGCAGGGCTGACATGGGGGTTCACAGGTCCACGATGCATATACGTGTATGCATGTATGCATCTATGCCATGTCGCCCTCTGTCTACAAAGGTTCTGCTGAGTGCATGTCTCTGGGTGAGAGAGAGAACGAGACAGAGAAAGACTCGGACATAGAGACTGCACTACGAACTGAAGAATGACAGAATGACCCCGGCAGAATCGCCGCAGATCCAGAACCATGAACATGAACTCCAAGAATCGCACAGACCCCAAACCCTAAATCCTAAACCCCCGAACTCTAAATCCCTAACCCCTAAACTTTACCCTAAACTCCTAAACCCTACGAACAAACAGCGTCCTCCGATCCCCTTTGGCGCCTTGACGCCCTCCATTCCAGTCACGGTCTCCGGCTCCTTGGTCTTGAAGATGGCCTTCTCCTGCGAAGACTCGGCAGCATAATACTGTTATTATCTATGCATGTGTATATATGTATATGTAGGTATACTTACTTATTTATTTGTTTTGCTATATATATATATATATGTGAGTCCGAAACCTCCACCCCCAACCCTGAATTTCAATCACAACGGTTCTCCCTTATAGTCCCGATATGATATACCCAAAAACCCTCATGTTGGATTCTTGAGGCTCCTACACTAAGCCATTGCTGAAATCCGAACCGGTTTAGGGTTTAGGGTTTAGGGTTTAGGGTTTAAGGTTTAGGGCTTAGGGTTTAGGGTTTAGGGTTTAGGGTTTAGGGTTTAGGAGAATCCGAGCTCCCTCAGCGGCTCCTCCTGGCGCAGTGCTGTCATGTTCGCCTGGACCCCACCGGCGGTTCGCTCAAGGCTACGAAGGCCCAAAGAAGACCCATTACACAAACTAGGACCACCTAAACCCTAAACCCTAAACCCGTATATTGCATCGAAGACCCATTACCCAAACTAGGACCACCGAGGGGCACAACCTGCTTCCCTCGGCTCCAATTAGGGTTGAGGGTTTAGGGTTTGGGTCGTTCTCTAAAGCAGGGCCCCTTCTAGGGTCCTTTTGTTAAGGGTGCCGTACTACATTGGGGCCTAAACAAGGATCCTCATTTACAGAACCATCCGTTTAGGGAACATAGTTAAGGACGTTCAGAATTGGAATAAGGTTTTGGCAACAAACTGCACCTTCAAGCCCGAAACGTTGAACCCAAGGCCCCGCGCCTGGGTCTCTGCCAGCGTGGTCAACTCCTTCTTAATGGCCACCACCTCGCATCAGAACAAAGCCCAGCTCAAATCTGAAACTCTAAACCCCTAAAACGCCCCCCTAAACCCTAAACCCTAAACCCAAAACGCCCTAAGCACCCAACAGACCCTGAAACTCGCAAACTGCTGGTCAGGCTTTTGAAGGCAGTTAAGGGTTCAGGGTTTATAGGGTTTAGGGTTTAGGGTTTAGGCTTCTAAACCCTAAACTAAACCCTAAACCCCAAAACCTGGGCAAAAGCGTCGGCGCTGCGTGTTTTCCGAGTTCGGGCCCAGGAGCTTTGGGCTCTTCGAGCTTATAGAACAACTTTTATATAGGGGCCTTAAAAATTAGAATAGGGTTTTGGGGTCCTTCATAACATAACACAATCATTTTAAGGAACCCCCAAAATAATATGGGTCACTACTCAAGCCCCTATTCCCTAAACCCTAAGCCCAAAACCCTAAACCCTATTTGGGGGGTTTAGGGTTTAGGGCTTCGGGGCTGAAGGCTTCGAGCTTCAAACGTTTGGGTTGTGGTTGTGAGTGTAGGGTTTCGACTTCGGGTTCAGGGTTTAGGGTTTAGGGTTTAGGATCTAGGGTTTAGGGTTTAGGGTTTAGGGTTAAAAGGCTTAGGGTTTAGGGTTTAGGGTTTAGGGTTCAAGGTCTAGGGTTTAGGGTTTAGGGTTTAAGGCTTAGGGTGTAGGCATGTATACATTTATCTATTTAGTTCTTGCGGTCGAATGTGACTATCCGTGTGTCTTCATCTGCCTGTCAGTCAATCCCGTACAGGAACCAAACATACCATCCCCTCCCCAAACTCGCCTTCACCCCGTTGTGAAAGAAGCCCCCTTGCAAAGAACATGAGGCTACTACAAAGGTACTGTCAGAAAACCACAAAGGGTACTGTACAGTTTGAACTATAAAGGCACTGCAGAGGCACCACCCGAGACCCTAAACCCTAAGCCCTAAAACCCTAAACCCTAACACCATAAAGGTACTATGGTACGAACATCTGCCTGCCCTAAACCCATCAGCCTTAAACTTGTCCGAAACTAACCCAAAGGCCCCCATTAAAATAGCATAAGGATACTATAAAGGTACTATGAAGGTACTGTGACGAAACTCAGACGGTTCTATACAGGTACCATCATTGCACTATAAAGGTATATAAAGGTACTATTGCAACCCCATACTGCCCTTGAACCCCAAACTCGAGACTCCTACCCCCTTAAAACGGACATAAGGAGGTATTATCAAGGTACTGTCAGGAAACTATACAGTGATACAGGTCCTCCACAACTCGCAAAAGCCCCCTTGAGCCTCCTTAAATTAGAGCATCTCCCTGCCCTAAACCCTGAACCCTAAGCTATAAAGGTACCGTACATAAATGTACTAGCAAGGTACTGTCAGGAGACTATCAAGGTACTATGGCTGATGGACAAAATCCTGCATGACCTTATATACCTAAACTATGGGATTTTATGGTACTATACTATATTTGGGTCATGCAGAATTTTGTCCATCAACAGTATGAAGGTAGTATGGTACGAGCATCTGCCTGCTTCTTCAAGGATGCAGACTTCGATGCGGTGCCGTCGATCTTGGTGCTCACGTCATCGAGGTCGCCCTCCTGTGGTGGGGCTTTAGGGTTTAGGGTTTAGGGTTTAGGGCTTAATGTAGGCGCCTTAATAATCTTAATAGGGTTTTGGGCTCCCTTGTAGTATTATTACGATGAGGAACCCTAACAATAATATTGGTAATTATTTAGGCTTCTATATTAGGGCCATAGTTTCGGGCTTGGGGTTTGGGATTGGGGGAGGGCTAAGGGCTTATAGGGGCTTCGGACGTTTAGGAGTTTAGGGCTTTAGGGCTTGAGGGTTTAGCCTATTGGGTTCAGCGCTTCGTGTTTGGGGCTTGAGGAGTTAGGGTTTAGGGTTCTAGGGTTTAGGGTTTAGGGTTTTAGAGTTTAGGGTTTAGGGTTTAGGGTTTTTCGGGGTCCATTTTTTAAATTATAGTACAAGATACGCTCAAACCTTATTCTAATGATTAAGGCCCCTATACTACACGCCGGAGGCCTGGCCTGAAGGAAGTTTGCAGCCTCTATAGACCCGGCAACCCCTACTTATCTTGCAAACCCTCGACCCCGAACACCCTAAACCCCAAACCCTAAGCCCCAAAACCCTGAACCCCAAACCCCAAAGCCCGAAGCCCAAAACGCCAAACCCCAAACCCCAAGCCCTAAACTCTACACCCTCAGACCGAAACCCAACCCTTCTTGACTACGTCAAAAATTTCGCCCATCCGACGCCTTGGCCGCCTTCTTGTCTGCAGCTTCGCCCATCTCCTTGTCGCAGTAAGCCTGGGCCGTGGTTAAGGTAGAAGCCTTAATGAAGGGAATAGGGTTTTGGGGTATAGTATATTATACTAAAACTTTAATTTCTACAATAAGAACCCACAAAATAAGATTCTGTTCTGTTCTGTGGTGGACTCCAGTGCTCGCATTCGAGCGC